GAATTATTTCTCAATTGCTTGTTATTTTAGTTGTTGGGAGCTAAGGAAATCGCAATCTCACATAAATTCACCGCCTTTATCACTATTTTTTTATGTGTTAGCATTCTTTGTGATTTTGTGTTGTTGAATATCGTTGGTGATCCACGTTTTGTTCTTTCATTATTTCGATCCAAGTTTGTTCCCATAGGATCTTAGGCTGTTTCTTAAAAGGAAAGAGGCTATATTGCTAGGGAAATTTCTTTTGTCATCTCAAGTCTAGGAAAGCAAAGTTTTTTACTTTGGATTTATATGAATGGCAACCCATAATTGTTATGTCAAATTAAATAAAAGCTGAAGGCTGAGGATTAAATTTGACATAATAAGAGGCTGTTCAGAGTTCAAAAGGACTAAGTAGGTGACTTTAAATGATAATTTGACACACACATTTACAAATATCTGAGCTGCTTGCTACTTTTTTGGTTTCTATGTAAGAGTCCTCCTTCATTCTGTCATGATAAAGTTAGCTGTTCTTGCCAGGCTGACATGAACCCAATACACTCTGTCATGGAAGATTATTTATCTTTCTCATTTTAAGCTGACTTATTATGCTTTTCATGACAGTATATGAATTTTTCTCTTCTCCTGAGTTCTGTCCATTAAGTTAGGTTTTTGATGAGGTTAATACATTTCTAATGTTGTTAAAGCTTACTTCTTTCCTCATGCTAGCAAACTCTCATTTATTTTTCATCCACAATCATTTGCAGGTGACACCTGATGTGCACTTTCAGAAGGATTTGGGCTTGGATAGCTTGGACAACGTGGAGATTGTAATGGCTTTGGAAGAGGAGTTCAAGCTAGAGATTCCAGACAAGGAAGCTGATAAGATTGACTCGTGCCATCTTGCAATTGAGTACATATATACCCATCCGATGGCTAGTTGATTTTAACCAGATTTTCTCTTTTTGAATTTCATGCTGGATAAAACAGTGTAGTACCCTGTTTTGTTCCGTTTATCATGTGCTGTATGCATTTGATTCTCTTAATGGGATTTCAAATTTTTGGTGGCTGTTTTCATAATGGGATTTCAAATTTTTGGTCAGTATGTTAGTCAGGTGGCATCAGAACCTGCACAGTTCATGACTTTGTTATGCTCCTATGCCAAGCACATTGATGTTCAATCTGCAATAAATCAGCCGTATTGGATGACTTTCTTCCCCTTTAATACGCTTCTCTTATTTTCATGTCTTACTTTCTGGTTTATTGGCTTGGCAAATTAATATAAGTTTTTTTTTTTTTAAATGAAATTTTCTAACAGCACATGGAAATTTTAGATAAAGAAAATGCTACCTGTCTTGTTTCTCTTTGCATGCTTTGGTTTCAGAATTGGTTTGTGAAACATGGATACAATCTTTCGTTTTCTTCTATATTCAGTTCCCTGTAAAGCAAATAGAGGGAGAATAATATATGGGCTTCATGGTACCAAGGCATGGATAGGTAAGATTTTGCAGACTTATTTAGAGCTGAAGCTATTAGAAAGTATTCTCTATTTCTCATCTCTGTACGTTCAAAACAAGAATCCATCTCTTTCATCCGCCTGGAAGGCTGGAAGCAATCTTGTCATGAGAAACATACATTATCATAGAAATGCTTTCACTTCAGTTTAGTCTTTGCTTGATTTAGTGTTAATTAGAAGTCAACTCTCAAACTTGCTTCTACAGGCCATTCTTCATAAATTTGCAGTAGATTCAAAATTAAGAGCAATAGTGTTGTTATCCCATGGCATGCAGGTTGCAGGTCCACTTGCCACTCGGTTTAATTCAAAGTTTCTGCTTTGTTCATCATTGGTAGCCCAATTTGTAGAGGATCTGATATACAGCCTAAGTTACTCTTTGAGGCACGCTCTGGGAAGGTTGTTGCTTGGTATTCTCCAGAGCGCAAAGAAGGGATGATAGAATTACGCCTTTTAGGACTTAACTGTTTTTTATGTTTGTTTTGTTTCGAACACCAACTTTCATGTAGGAAAAGTTCTTGCAGTCGCATGTACACATTTCCCTTTTTTTCAAAGTAATGTTAGTGCCAATCTTAAAATTGAAAACAATGGACAAAATGTAAAAGATCACTGCACGAATGCCAATATCATTACTACTAGATATCAATAATTTGCAAGTATTATTATAGAATACAACAATAACTGTTGTTACTTTTTCCCCTTGAAAATGTATTGTAAAGGAAACCAACTCAGTTACAAGATGTTACTCTCAATCAGGTAGAGTAGAGCCTTTTCCTAAATCTTGACAAAATGCTGATCATTCAACCGTAGCCAACAAGTCACTCTCTTTACAGAAACAGTGCTTGGTGTCTGTTCCCAGATCAACCTGCAGCACGATTACCAACATGGAAAACATGAAATGAAATCATAGCAGACAGACAAATGGTAGCAGAAGCAAATAACAACTATCTGGCGCCAAACAACATCTTGCCTAAGAACAGTTTTTACATTTTCTAGAACATTAACACTCCATAAGGGAGAGATGATATGAAAGCATATTAAGAGAGCCAGAAGTGATGACACTAACCTCATAAGCATTTATATCTGAGAAAATAACCTGCAAAAGCACAAACATAACTTCTTCTTTTTTATGATATTAGGAATATAAGCAGATACAAAAAATGAAAAAAAAAGATGGCACTATTTTATGTAAGAACAAGAAAGAACAATATTGTTTCGAAAATTGAAACCACGGGCAAGATACCTTGGTCCCAGGCTCCACATGTCCAACCTCAGAACCAACAGAAAGAATCTGATATGGAGATAGTAACATCAAATAATATGTCTGTCCCAGCACCAATAGTCCAAAAAGGAAAAACAAATGACAAGGGCAGAAGGATTCGAAAAATTACCTCTCCGATTAGATGCCTCTCATACTTAACAGCTGATTTTGGCAGCAAAACTCCACCTGGGGATTTCTAAGGCATAACAATTTTGCGTTTTAAGTCATGAATGCCAAAAATATTATCCAAAACAGGCAGGTAATATTCCATGATAACAAGAACAGAACTAAAAAAGGTACACGAAAATCATGTCATAAAATATCCTCCATCGATTCTTTGAAGTCGGAACTTGGTTGAAATGTTAAGCTTTCATTTACTTATTCTATTGAAAAACAGCGTTAGCACTATACAGGAGCATTGAGAAAAGAAAGAAAGCAAACCTCGGGTAATTGTTCAAGACGGATAAGAACCCTGTCAGCTTGGGGAACAACCTTTGTGGGTTCCCATTTCCTGGCAACTGCATTGATTCTCAGAGAATTTCGTGGCGACCCTGCTCAAACTCAAAATCAAGACTCATCTATGAAATCAGCAAAAACGTAATTAAAAGCACTAAAAAGAAGGGACCAACTAACCGAATAGTCTCTGAGTGGAGACTGAAGGGACGCTTGGTTTGCTCAAAGTGAAGGCCTTTGGTACAGTAACGAACGCAGACGCCATGGATAAGAAACCAGAAGAACAAAAGGAGAGAGCTTTTTGAGCCTTTGAGAGTTTTGAGGGAAGAGGCTGGAGCCTGGAGGCAGTGTCAATAATAAGGGAGTGTTTGGCAAATAGCCTGTTTGTTAGGGGTCAAATTTTCTGTGTTGAAAATGAAAAACGAAAAAAAAAAAGAAGCGTTCTGCATTCATTAATTGGGATAAATGAATATTAAGAATGATAATGAAAAATTAATATATTAATAACTTTTATTAAAATAATTTCATAAGTAATTTTTATATTAATTTTTTAGATTAAATTTATTAATAAATAAATATCATGTAATGAAGTTAAGAAGCAAATGCATAAAAATTATCTCATATAAGAATTACTCTTGAAATACATAAAAATTAATTTAAAAGGCTTTGTTGTAATTACTAAAAAACAGATCATATAAAAATTTTAATTTTCTCGCATTAAATTTATATTTATTATATTTCTATTTGTCTTTTTAAAAAAAAAAGATTTCTACATTGTAAAACTCGGAAATTTTTATGCTTTTCTTAACTAATTTGAATGATATTTGCTTTCCTTCAATTATTATACTCTATCTCTTCATTTTCAATCATTTTAATTTGACTTTTTAATTATTTAAATGTAAGTTTTGGAGGAAGTAGTATCCAAAGCTAAACATCACAAAGTACCTTTCCTTTATCCTCTTGAATTTTTCAAGTAGTCAAGCTCTAGAAGTTCTTAATTCAATGATCAATGACTACTTGGGACCACAAATCCACAATGCCTATAATTTGTCCCTAATCTCTGCAACACTTTTGAAACTTTATCCCCTTCTTTTTTCCGGAATCAAATTTCCATCCCCATTTACTGTTTTCACCAGACAAAGGGAGTAAACCCTTTACTTAAACGAGGATTTCTCCTTTTCTGCTTCCCAAATTTTTCCTGTAAAGGAAGCCCATTTTCTCTGAATGCTGGCGACAATGGTGAAGAAGCTCTTCTTCTGTGACTGGATTCTTCTCTGTCAGCTGTGGCTGGCTGCTGTTGTTTGCTCCGAGAATCATGGTATGCTTCTATATTTTCTCTTATTTGGGTCTTGAAATTGTGCTGTTTTATAGCATCCACTCGAAGATTGTTATTGTTTCTACTATATTAACCGTGTCTTTGTGTCTGATGAACTAAAGTGGTGACTGGAGAAGAAAAAAAAAAGAAGAAAACTTTATAATTTTACGTGTTTCTTTGAGGTTAGGGATTCTGCCTAATTGTTCCTATAACTCTATGAATAATGTTTGAGCTAAAAAAGGGATTTAAAGATGACCGGAAATTAAAATATGAAGTGGGTTTGTTATGGATTGCTCTTTCTGCTTCATTTTGTTTCTGAGAGAACGGCGTAAAAGAAACCTTTGTCTTCCTAAGAACCCTTAGGACACCAAAAGACTTAACACAAATTAGTTATATTTTTTGAGAAGCAACAAGAAGATAGATATATATGGTTGGTTACTCAAGAAAAAGAGACATCAGATGAGCAAAATTTGATTTATTTACTTTCAATTTCAAGTTGCTATATGGTTCCAAAACAAATACTTACTCTGAGTTGATGCATTGGACCTCTAGAGAAAGAAGACATCATAAGGACCATTGTTGTTAACTGTCCCATAAGAAATGTCTTTTCTGTATTATTCTTCATCAATCTTGACCAGTTTATGTAAAAATTCAACCATCTATAGTCTCAAACTCCTTTAGTGGTGTAGAAACGTTTGGGGATGTTAAACTTGATTTGTGCCTTAAGGTCGTTCTCCTGATTGACTGGGGCAATAAATTTCAGTAGCCATAACTCAGTGTATACCTTTCCTCTCATCTTGATAGACGGTTTTATTCATTTCTAGTTAAAATTCCTCGAAGATGAAGCATTTTCTGTTTTAGAGTAAATGACAAAGATCCTCCCGTTGTTCAGCTGCAAGGCCTTGATGCAATGCTAAAGTCTATACTGACTATTTGTTCCAATATCATGTCCATATGTCTGCTTATGATTGTTGAAGCTTCAAAGAAACATGTGAAACAACTGAACAAAGGTTATAGACGGCCTTCAGATGACATGATCATTAGGAATCTCCTTCTCTCTTGACTTGTAGTAATGTACCAGCTTTTCTAAGGATGCACCTACAGAAGACACTTGCATTTCTAATCTTGTTTACTCACATCTTCAATTGCACCTTTACATTAGTTCAACTCCTACTTTCATCTGGAGTATTAATCATTAACTTCATCATAGATAATTATTGGTGCTTCCCACTTTTTTTGGCAGACCATTCTGGTATCTATTGTCAATGCTAGTTGCTTGCGCTGAGGTGTTACAAGTTAGATTTCATTGTCCTATAGTCAATCAGATACAAACTACACTTAGCAACCTTCTTTTGTCTATGTTATAGTATGATTATATATGTTATGCTGCATGTCTTTCAGGAAATCCTACAAATGATCTTGTCGACATCATTAACAAGAATAGAACTGCTCAAAAGCTTCCACAACTAAATGACAGTCCTGGCCTCGGGTGCATGGCCCTCCAGTATGTCGAATTGTGCAAGGGAAACTGCAGCAATAACAATGCTGTAAACTGCAAGCCGCCAGAAGATGACTTCACCGAAGTCTTTGCCCCCAATTGTGGTGTAGAGCTACCCACATTTGGCACCATAACCGGCCACATTGTGGGATGCCAATCCAAGTACATGGAGCCATCACTAGCATTCTCACATGTTCTTGTCAAAGACAAGAAGACACTATCTATTTTAAGAAACAAATCACATACAGAGGTGGGAGTAGGCTTGGTTGGATTTCATAAAGGCCCTTTCTTTTGGTGTGTTCTATTCAGTGATGGTAAGACAAATTCTTCCTTTGTACTTGAAGATCAAGGTAAAGGGATCAAGCAGAAGAAGGGATGCTTCAGTGGAAGTGCTTTTCCTTGCAATGGTGTTGAACAGAGAACTGCTGTGTTTTTGAGTTACATTATTACCGTTGGTATTTTAATTATTTGTCACTTAAACCACAACTTGATTGATTAATGACAATATGTACCACCACTTCATGATTCTGGAAATTTTGTAATAATTGAGATGTGAAGAGGATGCAACTCTACATTTCTACCCTCTCTCTTTTCTGCTCTTCATGGTTACTTCAAAATGGGCTTTTGGAACAATAATTGAGCTTGTTAGCCCAATTTTGTCCAAATGTAAATTGGACTTGGGCTTGAAATCCAACTTTGATTTGTAGTTGGGATTTTACTCTTCTTATTTAAAGTCACTTCCATTGTGTTGTGTGTGTGTGTGTTTTTTTTTTCCTAGGTTATGGGGCTTCCTTTTATTTTTAACTAACAGATATATAAAGAAAAGGCTACGTTTAAATTTTTTTTTTTTTTTTAAAAGGCTAAGTTTCTGAAAGTGGAAAAGCCTTCATCTTACCTAACAATAACTAAACAACCCATTTAACATATTATCCCACAAAAAGAACAAAAAAAAAAAAAAAAAAGACCAATTCCCAACACTTTCTTAGCACCATGATACAGTATACTTCCTAAAAAAAAAAGGATTTATTCAATTTTTTTTCTTTAAAAAGATGAAATTAATTTCGATTTTAAGATAAATTTTAATGACCTCAGTTTAAGGAATACATTGTACGGAATAGGTTTCTTATCTTAACAAACGAAAATAAAAGCTCTCTCTTTCGTCGACAGAAATAAATTGTCGGTGTTATTATTGCCGGCGGCTGACCTTTTACATCGGAAGAAAGAAATTAATACTATGGACTGGACAATTATGCGCGCAGTTGAGAACCAGTCCTACTTTAAAAAATCAGAAAAAAAATTAAATTCCTCAAAATTTTCGAGTTCCAAATCCAAACCGTCCGATCCCGAAAACCATATTTCATTTTTGTAATAATTTTGAAAATCCCACATAATCTTAATACAATAGTAGTATTATATTAATATATTGCAGTAAATAAAATCAACAAATTTATTTACAACAGAATTAAATAATAATAATAATAATAATGATAATAATGAGAGAAAGAAATTAGTGACTTTTATATATTTTTTTTTTTTTCCAAAAATGCCACTGAACCAGCGAGCGTGTTATCCACTCATACCCCTGAAAACCACCGAAAAAATTCGCTGATCTCCTCACCCACGCGATTCGCTTCGACATCCCAGTCTCCGTCGCCTGGTACGTCGGAGTGGCGGCTGCTCCCGCTGACGAACCTGCCTGAGCTACGGAAAGACAGCGCTCGGGAAGAGACGGTAGAGGAGAGGCGGTCGACGTACTCCTTCAGCCAACTCCTGCCACTTGCTACCTCAGCAGCTAGGTTTTCCTCCGGAGCCGCCACCGCCGAGTCGTTTCCTCCAACCTCCTCCTTATCGGACACACTCCTCTGATGCTGGCGCGTTTGGTTCATGCTCACCTCGGATAAACCGTCCACAATGTAATCGAAGGAGCCAATGGAGTACGACCTTCGCCGCTCGCTGGTGTCCGAACCGGTCTGACGGTGGCTCACCGAGCCAATCTCAATCCGGAAACTATCGCTGCCGTCAAAGCTTCCTTGAAGACCGCCATTAGAAGACGAAAGCAACACCTTCATGACATCCGCTTCGGATGCGTAAATCGGAGATCGACAAAGAGGACACGAGTGATTGGAGTTGAGCCACGTGTCGATACAGTCCGTGTGAAATGCATGGCAACACAGAGGGAGAAGCCGGAGCTGATCCTGCAACTCAAATTTCGACAAACAAACGGCGCAATCGCCGGAAATCATGGATGCAGTTGTAGTTCGGCGAGTGATGGACGAGAAGGTGAATATCGGGAGGGAGTCGATGAGGGATAAGGTGGGAGAATCCTCCGGAGAGACGCGACTGCTGCCCGTAGCCGCGACAGAGTGAGAGCCAGAGAAGTGGCGGAGACAGCGGCGGTTGAGGTGGCGGAGTAGGAGGCAGAGAGAAACCGAAACAATCACAGTAATTGAGAGAATTAAGATTAGTATGAGTATGCTCGGCTTGATTCCCTCCATCCCCGAAGAAGACGAATGTGAAACTCCTACTCCGTCTCCCATTCCCAATCCCACGGAATTTGGTAATACCGGCAGTGGAGGCGGCGGTGGTGGAACAGACATGTTGATGTCGGAAAGGTAAGACTTAGCAGTTTCTCGACACTGAGTAATTATTTGTAATATGGAAAATGAGAAAAGAGAGAAGAGAGGGATGTATACAAAACATGTGACGAGAATTTAGTAGTGCAGGCGGCTGCGGGTGTTGATGGTGGCGGCGGCGGCGGCGGCGGCGGGGGGGGAGGTGGAGGCGGAGGAGTGAGAAAGAAAGAGGGTGAGAGAAATTGCAGTTGTGGTTATAATGGAAGAATGAAGGATTGTATTAAATGGATTCACATCCAATGGAAACTGCCAAAATGAAAAGAGGAGCTGAGGAAGTAAATGCAAAATTAAAAGTAAAGGTCTCGAAATGGAATCCACACAACAGAACAGGTGGCCCATTCTCTACACCTCCTTTATTTACATATTCATTTTTTTTTGTTAATAATTGCTTTAATCTCAAAAATTCTAAGATAATTTTCTCAATTTTAGCCTCATATTGAAGTTGTTATGTAACTTTCTTAAACTTGTGTTGGATTTGGAGGTCAACCTCAATCCATGGCCATTATTATTAGTTTTGCCTTTTCCTCCTTTTTCTGCATTCTTTCACCTTTCTCTTTTCAGTATATATATAGAACATGGATATCTAATTTTTTACTTGATTAGTTTAAAAACATATATAAATGGCATTGTTATACTAGGTAAATCTAATTTTAAGGTATACAAGAGGGATACTATTTTCTTTTTCAGAAAGTGCAGTGCTATATGAATAATATTTTTATATTACATTTTAATATAATTTTTACATGTTATTAAATGAGTAGATGTATTTAATATCACATGTTTCAAATAAATAAAAATAATCAATCATTTAAATGATATGTAAAATTATATGAAAAGATGGTATAAAAAAATAATCTCAAAATCATTTTTCTTTCACAAATTCACCTTTATAGATAATACAAAAGATTTGAATTTAAGATCTTTCAATTCGATGACCAAAATTGTGGCCGTGAGACATATATACCCTGAGGTACATACGGGCTTTTCGTTATGATAGAGTTTGGGTTTTCTGTTTTTTCTATATTGGTATGGTCAGAGAAACAAAATGAATGAATTTTCTTGACCTCAAAGCACTTCTTTGAGATGATTGTGGCCGTAAATTAGTTATGAAGTTTGATTATTAGTTGTGGGATTAGTTGACTTAATGAATGAAAGTTTTTGTCCAGCCTTGAAAACGATAAGACTGAGAAACTACTTGAATTTTTCATGTGCAGAAACGTACTAAATTAATGTGTGGAGGATGGAATTACAAGGAGCAGCAGCTTCTGATGGGGAATGAACGAACCAAAAGTGCGGCGATTAATCATTCCAAAGAAACATTTAATATAAGCATGATTCTACCATTATCATCCTAAAGTAATACCATCATATCTTTAGAATTAGTATTAACATGATGTTTTTCTTTCTTTTTTTTCATGAGTCGAACAATTTTCCTTGCTTTCGTGTTACTCTTTGCAAGCTCTGAAACAACATTGCTTTATGAGATTATAAAATACGACTCATTAGGATATATAAATATACTACAATTGTCAAGTATGCAAGTGGAATAGTGGATTAAGAAAATATGGTGAGGATTATATGTGAGATAAAATCCTAGGAGGCATTTTTGTATTTTTGTTCTTACCTAACACTCATCTCAAGTGGATCTTAGCTCACTGACTCAGTTTGGGATTGTTATCCAAATACGTGTAACTAGCAGCATGCATTCAAAAAGAGGGGTTAGTTTGCATTTGGCTTTAGTTATTGTCAGTCTCTGCTTTTACTTGATTTGTTGGTTAAACCATATTATAGAATTGCATTGCATAGCATAACAGTGTTTCTTTTCTTTTCTGCTCATTAAAAGCACCATAATCCTATCTAAAAATCAAGCTCTTGTTCTAGATGAGAGGCAAAGGCTGTAAAACAACAATAACAGGAACAAATTTCTTCTTTCTTTTCTGTGAAGAAAGGTAAATAATGGGTGAAATTGAATGAGGAGTACTATATGGGTATAAATAGATATCAGGGTACCTGCAGAGCAATAAATCTAAGGATTGAAGCCTGCACCTAACCACATTTAAGGTGCAGACTTGGAGGGACAACCCCCCTTTGATTTATTAACTTTGTTATTATAGAAAGGAAAAGTAGAACCCACCTCAACAGCAAACTTGAAAAGGGCTCTCATCCTCCGACTTTGCTTCCTTTGTACTCTTGGCATGTGTAACTCTGAATCCTTAGAATGTCTCTGGTGGAAAAAGCTTTAATTCTCTGATTTTTTTTTAAGTGTATTCTCAAGGCCCTAACACTATATTCCCAGGGCATCCCTAGATGCTGGGACTGGGGACTACTTTGGATTACTGTAGATGGAGAATTACATCACCAGGAGAAGTAAATTTTGGGCATCTGAATCTGCAATGCCTGGGAACAGAACTCGAAGGGGAAATATATGGTGGGCATTGAATTACATATGCTTGAAGAACACTCATTGTCAGGTGAAAATTTTCCTTTTGACCGTTTTCAACTTGAGCTTTTCTTGGCAGAGGTACAACACTGCTATTCTTCCCGGACTGAACTTCATTCCTTCTTTTGTTAATACTTTCTTGCACTGCTATTCGTTCGTGTTTTCCACTTCCTCAATTTTTATGCATTAACGTAAGAGCATCCAACCATGTAAGAAAGCCAAAAGGAAAAGGGGAAATCTGACTTTGAGGGATTCTAGATTCACCTAAAACTTTATCAGGTAAACAGTTGACACTCGACATAAAACCACACTTCTTTGTAAAAGGCAGAGAGACTTAAGAAGAAAGGTATCGGGATCAAGAACAAAAATCATAGGCATACACCCAACATGAGAAAAATTAAGGAAAATGAAATTCACGCATAGGAAGTAGCTAATTTGATGTCAAAAACAGTTTCATGAACAATTCTCTTTTAAATAAATAATAATAAAAAAAGATTCACCTTTATAAGATATAACTAGCTAAAATCATAATTGCTAAATAGTGGTAATGCTACTTTCAAACAGATGAAAGAAATACAGGCAAGAGAGTAAGGCATAATTAATTTTGCAAGGCTAGGTCAGCTAAATCGTGATATTGGAAATCTCCAAAATACTAAAAGTACTAAGGGGAACAAATAGCCAATATTTCCAACTTCTTGCTCATCAGAAAAAAAAATAAAAATTCCACTTCTTTGTAGAGCTGGACACATCCAAAATACTAAAGCACCTGACACATAGATATCCTCAAAATTGTGATATAATGGGGATTTCCAACTAAGCACTCATAATTCCATCAACAGTATCAATAACAAAAGCAAAATCTTAGTTCCACAAGGAAGAAATAAAGCAGAGTTATATGGTGAATTAATCTCAATGGTGATAGCACTATCCTTCCATTCTAACATCCAATCGCTCAAATGGCAGCAAAAGCCTTCTTCCCACCTGCAGAAGACCCAGCTGGGATGACCTTCAAGACATTGAACCTCACTGTCTTTGAGAGTGGCCTGCAGAATCAGTCAATAAATTAACAGACTTCAGCAGCATGATTAATGAACACATAAATGAAATGAACATCAGGACTACAAATAATAAATCAGACGACAATTAAATAGTCAGAACCTGCACTGTCCAATAATAACATGATCTCCTTCCTTCACACGAAAACATGGGGAGACGTGGGCTGGGATGTTTGAATGCCTCTTCTCATATCTGAAAATTTTTAACAGCATATAAGAAACAAACATGAGCTCATTTAAACAGATAGCACCACATTCTTTCAATTGCAGAAAATAAATTCTGTAGAGGAAAAGTCACTTAAAACCAACAGTATGGAAGTGTCTTACCTTTGGTATTTCCTCACAAAGTGAAGGTAGTTCCGTCGAACAATAATAGTCCTCATCATTTTTGCACTGTGGCAAGTGCCAGCAAGAATACGGCCTCTAATAGAAACTTCACCAGTAAATGGGCATTTCTTGTCAATATAAGTTCCTGAAAAAAGATGAAAGCATTCACCATAAATTTCTTCAGGAACAGGTGAGGATCTATATGGCAGCATTGAAAAAGAACATGATCAGAAGAGTAAGAATATCCTTGTTGATAAGAGAATATATAGTAAATGAAACAAGTAAGCTGGTACAAATATATTATGAATCATTTAGCCACAACTTGGCCTGTGGTACTTGTACCATGTTTTCAACACTTAGATGATACAATAAACTGAATGTCTAAGACTGGCCAATTGACACCGCTACTCAAGTGGAGCTTTGAATATCAACAGTATAAAGTTTACTTAGAACTTCCGAGTTTATATTTTAAACTTCCACTTAGACTTAAATTACCAACAGAACAAACAGTGGAACCCCTCATCTCAGTTCATCAGTTTTATGCTAAACTTTCTAACTTCACATACTAAAAGCTTAAGTATCAGTATATGGCAACGACATATGTATGTGGCTTTTAACGGTCACAAACTCCACCAAATTTGACCATCAGACCTTGATAGAATACAAATATCTACGATAAAACAAGCACTCACCAATTCTAGGTGTCTGTCAACAAAAAGTATCAATGCTATGCAAGCATAAATTTCTCAGTTAATGAACAAATGTGGGTTTCATCTCATCTGTCATTAATGAACAACTGAACATTGAACTAGACAAGGTTGTCAAACAAATGAGATGCAGCAACAAATTTAAACATGATAAGCTTCAAAAAAATCCATAACATTTACAGAGTGGCAAAAGCAAGCAAACCTTCAATTGCCTCTCTGGGTGTCTTAAAACCCAACCCAATGCTTTTCCAGAAGCGATTCCCACCCTTGCCAGGTCTCTTTCCCTTTCCGGATTTCTTCGAGCTAAAATAAATAACAAACAGAAGCAAAAAATAAATAAATAAATAAAAATCAATACAGTTCCAGAAGCATTACAATATACAAGAAGCAGAAAAGGCAGCATAGAAATAGAAATCGACAACACAGGAAGAATTCAGAATACCTTAAGAAAACCTTCGGCTGCTTCAAAAATGCCTTCTCCGTCTAAAATAATAAAGCAAACAAACATCAGATCTAAGTCGGAGACAAATCCAACACTCTTAACAGGAAAACTTCAACTACGTTCCCTTGAAGCCTTTTTTTTTTTTGGGTCAGCAAACAAACAGGGTAAGCTGAAGCAGAAATAAATACAAAAACCCTCGCATTCGATACGAATAACATAGAGAAAGGGATAGAGATATGAACCTGTTCCGCCATGGTTGAGCTCCGGAGGCACACTGAGGACACAAAGAAGTACGAAACGCTACACAAGCTGAAAACCCTAATTCCGCGCCTCCGCGATGAGGTTAGTGAAGCTTGTTTTATATCGGGCTTTTTGGGCCGCATTTTCTCTAAAATAGAATGGATCGTATTATGTGGCCCAATTTTGCTGTTTACAAATACAGATACTACTACTAGTTGTAGTCCATGCCAGCCCAACCTCTCTTCCCTCCAAATTCTCTCTAATACTTAAAAATACAAAAAAATTATTTTACCGTTTGAATTGTATCAAATTATAAAATTTTAACATTTTGATATTTGGATTTAGAAAACTAAAGTGTATTTATGTTGGTAATTTTAAATTTGAATTCAAAAATAGGTAAGGAGGGGTTTGAAGAAGAGAAACTATTTTCTATTATATAACTTATCATCTAACATACCAAAAATTAAAAAGAAAAAAAGAAAAAAAAAACTGAAGTGCAATCCTTCCCGCGCTACGGCATTCTCATTTGGATTAACTTATTTTCTTTGTTTTTATAATCAAAACATTATATTTTTGTAATATATATAAGGGTTAGTGCTTATTCGCTTTCCCTTCAAAAAATTAAGAGGAAAGAGGACAAAAATCACCTTAATACATGCTTTAAAAATAAGGTAATTTAATATTTTTCAATAAAAATTTATTGAAACGACGTAATTTTAGGATAATTTTCCTCAAGATAAGGTTGATAGGTACTATTTCTATATATATATATATATATATATGGAGATGTATTTTTCTGGTCTTTCAAATAAAGTTTTGCATAAAAAGTCTTGAGAAATAAGGTCCAACAAATAGACAGCATCCGAGTTCGTTAGGACAATTTTAAGAAACGTTTTAATTGCCAAATCCAAGAGTATGTCATCCCCAATGCACAATAGATTGACATTAACATAAGGGGTATGAAAGGGAATGTTTCACCTAGAATGTAAGGATGCAAAATTTGACCCCATAATTCAACAACCATAAGACCAAATAGGTAAACCTTTCCAATCCATCCAATGCCAAACCATTCTTTCCCACCACTAGTAGCTCTAGATTTTTCCGACCAAACAGACTCATCATTGTTTGTTTGTTCCTCTGTTTCTGATGCTTCATCCTTGGTGAATTGTGCTGAGAAGCCAAACCACATTAGGATGGAGTGTAACAGCAACAACAACACTTTTATTGGATATTCTTGGCCTTCGTATAATAGTGGAAACAGAGAATAGCAAGATACTGCATAGGCATAAGCATGCAAATATTAAACCTTTTCCACCTTTTAGCCTTTAGGCTCATAGTTTAGTCATTAAAAAAGAGGCAGAGATAAGCATAAAGATGGATAATATTACCTATGGATAGTAAGAAGTAGTGCTTTGCATCTTCTAAACTCTCCACTGCAACAATGGCAAGGGGGATAACAAAGTGGAGTGATGCTTTCTCATGAACGTGCCACCCAAATAAAAACCCGCATGTGTAAGCATAAGCTATCCATCTAGCAATGAACTGTGGCTGGGGATCACTCCAAGCCTTAATTAAACAAGGAAATAACCCAAGCAGGACTGCAACAAAGGTTGTCAGAGGGGTGATCTGCCATTTCATCAATTCAAATTAGGGATTATATGTACAACATTAAATCACCCAAAAAAGTCATAAACGGGAAGCACAGCTCATCAGTCTTTAAATGTTTCATAAACAATCATTCAATTTTGCATGGCCTATCGATGACAAGGAACTTGAGAAGCATACATGCATGATTCCCTCTCACTGCAGGTCCAAGCAAAGACAAGATAACAGCTAAAAGTGGGATTGAGAAATGTTTTATAAATATCAATAAAAGAGAACTCCCAAGCAGTTTATAGTTTTTGTTGATGAATTGCTTCACTAAGTCCATCCATCAAGTTGATAAAAAGGATTGCATATGCCCAAACTAGTCGATTTTATTGAGTAGACTGACCTGAGGTAGAACTGCAAAAGACGATGAATCACCTACTAGCCCACCAGTGAATGAAGCTGCAGGCGCCTGGATGTTGAACCCAAGTTTTCTGAGGAAGAAAGCAAGCCCTTTATCTACTATGATATAAAATACCCAAAAATTTGGAGCCCAGTATGCGTGGCAGAGTCCCCTGCCAAAAGGAAACATGCGCCGGACGACTTGTTGAATCTGCAAGATATGAGCTGAACACTTAATACAATATGTAAAATAAAACAAAAGGTTATTAATTCAGCCACTATGCTTGATATATGACCAGGCCAGGTTAATAGCAACTCAATGAAAAATGGATGAAAACCAGAGTGGCAAAACTAGTCTCTCCACAAAAGTCTGCCTTAGCTATCACCATGACTCAGCCAGATTACATTCAACTAGGGCTGATTTCTGTAAAAGTGCAAAATTGAGGACAGACAGACAAAAAAATAGATATGTTAATCTGCATAAACTAGCCTCTATCATAGAATGTTGATAAGGACTACTACTTTTGCAATGTCGGTGTTGAATGAAATGAAATGCTAATTCATCATGGCACACTTGTAGATCACTACAGGAACTAATTACTTACAAGATCAAAATAATTAATACACCCCTATTTTAATGTCAACAACTACTACAAAAAGAAGATGCATTAGCTAACCAATAAACCTAGAGGAGGAAAGGCACAAATACAGGATCAAAAAGCTCAGACATGAGTAAACCAAAGGAAAAATAATGTTGAAGCAACTAAATGTTAAAAATCCAAACAGAGGATGTATTACCTGTTCATGATAAAAGAAAGGTCCATAAGCAGCAGCAAAAACCGCCACAACCACAGCCCCTATGACTGAAAGCCGGCCAAAACCTCTAACCAATCCACCCCGACAGTAATGCCTGAACAAGTACACAAAATAAACCGGAGCTGCCACTGCGAACAAGTGTTTAAAAGACAGCACAACTGCAAACAAGAACCCACCCATCAAGTCACTTCCTTCCACCAAAAACGAAATCGACAACAACAACCACCCAAGCAAAAACCCATTGTACTGAAAATGTACATGGTCAACGAGTAACAGTCCGGGAGACCAAACTACCAATACCCAGATCAAATTCCGCTTCAAGGAATCCAAATGTTTAGTCAATCTGTAAACCCCATATAAAAGCCACAAATCGGATAAAATCACAGTGAGTCTCTGGAAGACAATAACAGAAGTTGCTTTGTAGTTGAGGCCATTGTGAAGGTGAACGATCTGAGGGTCGACGAGATTGGCGAAGATTGAGAGGAAGCGCTCGTAGTAAGCAAAGAAAGGAGGGTAATCGAGGGTCCATTCGCTGGTCTCATCATAGTACCAGTGAGAGAGAGGAAGAGAGTGAGTAATGGCCAGCCAATGGCGATGGACCTCAAAGTCTGTGCTGTGGTACGATGGGATCAGCAGGACCTTTATAGTAGCTGCCACGGCGTAGCACCAGAGCAACTGTGGCAGTGAGCTTTCGCCCTGCATTCTCTACACCTTCGGACCCCCCACCAAAACGTTGAGACGCCTCCAAATCTGCAATTTTAACTGGATGTTATCAAATTTACACCACTGTTGTCACCAAAGTCTCGTCGACCAAGGATACAAGGATACAGGGTTCTGATAGTTCATGCTGACGCGACGAAGCAGGGATTTCAGCGCAGCGCTCAGCGGCGGAATTCTTAGGAGTTTCGATTTAGAGACTCCGCCACCAAGGGTTTTCAATCGCCGCCGTAACAAGACAGACGGCGGGCCTGGGAGGGGGAAGGCCCAGACTTCCTTAGGCCCTGGTTTAAAGAGCTCTGAAACGCCTGCTGCCAGTTCATTTAGAATGAACCTGGAGTCCAAGAGCCCAACTAAGACAGGCTCAAATGTTCCGAGGAGGAAGCCCAGATTCGACGAGTCCAAAAACATAGACGCCCGTCCGACAATCACACCATTTCTTCTTGCATCAGAGGATTCAGAGCTACCAGAGTGAAGAAAGTCCGAAGCTTTGTGTCTGTTCCTCCCTCTTTCCCTCCGACCTAGCGAGAGCCGAGCGACTTGAACTCCCACCAATCATGTTGCGCCGCGCCACCGGGTTGTTTGGCCGATCCATTCTAGCTGCGAAATCGCGATCCTTCTCCACCGATCTGCCGGCGGCTCAGACAGCCGACGCCTCATTTGTTGAATCATGGAAGAAAGTGGCTCCAAACTCGGAACCGCCTAAGACTCCTCTCGTCTTCATGCAGCCTCGTCCTCCCACCCCCTCCTCGATTCCGACCAAGCTCACGGTCAATTTCGTGCTTCCCTACGCCTCTGAGTTGTCCGGTAAAGAGGTAACATCTAGCCCCTTTTTACCTTATTCGATTTCTTTCATGTTGTGCCCTTTTTTTTAGGGGTATGATCTTAAATTTTGAGCTGAATACTCTGCAACTCATTTGAACTACTTGTGTTTTAAAATGCTGTTATTTGGGATTTGTAATGCATTACGTTGGTATTAGATTTTTTTTTTTTTCTCTTGAGGAAAGGCAATTTAGTGTAGATTTAGAAAACCAGGAGCTTTTATTATTATTTTTTTTCCATCAATTTCTGTTCTATGATTTTCTATTAGAATTTGTAATTTTTAATATTGAACCTCTGTTATTGTGTATTAGTGATGTTTAGCTTTCTGAAAAATGTACGAGTCAATGCTACGGTGGTGATCACCTCTGTGGATCATTAGTTCTACAATTTGGATCCTTTACCTTATACAAGGAAGAAAAAATACAACCCTTATTACAAGTAGTTTTCTTTGGATGCATTCAATGTGATGTGCCTATTGATTGGTTAATAATTCTAAACCTAGCTTCAATTCCTAGGAATAAAGCAATAATATGGCTATGCATTTTGGAGTAAAGTCTTTATTCACAATGTTGGGAACATATTGAGCATGTTAACATTGTGAATTGGTTATGGAATTCTCATAAAGGAGAAGACTTTCTTAATTTGCACCTTCTTCATCCTTAATGAACATCTATTGAGGGTTTTAGGTGAAGATGGTATTAATTGCAAAAAGCTTGTGGACTAATATTTGGGCGACAGAAGTTGGAGAATGCCAGTGTTTACAGTATTCTGATTCGAATTGGGGAATGTGAATTACAGACATTCTTAAAGATTAAACTTTAGCTTACCAATATGGGAGAAGATTAACCTCTTGTTGGATAGGGAGAAGAAAAGCCTCAAATAGAAGCTACAAAAAGAAGAAGTTAACAATCTGATTCTGCAATTTAAAAAATGATAATGTAATTCTTCATGGTGCCTAAATCTAAATGCTGCAATAAGGATCTTATTATACTTGGGGAAGGAAAGGAAGGAGTGAGTGGAGGAATTAATTATCCTTGCTTAAAAATGGGACCTGTAATAGTTAGTCTGGTGGTATCCATGCATCTAACTTTTTGTTTTTTTCAGGTTGACATGGTTATAATACCAGCCACAACTGGGCAAATGGGTGTTCTTCCAGGACATGTAGCAACAATTGCTGAGTTGAAACCTGGGGTATTTTCAGTCCACGAAGGAGATAAAGTGACAAAGTATTTCATCAGCAGTGGTTTTGCTTTCATCCATGCCAACTCTTTTGCAGATATAATAGCTGTTGAGGCTGTGCCGCTTGATCAAATTGATGCAGCCCTCGTACAGAAGGGGCTTGCAGACTTCACGCAGAAGTTGAGCTCAGCCACAACAGAACTGGAGAAAGCCGAAGCTCAAATTGGAATTGATGTGCACAGTGCTCTCAACTCAGCTATCACAGGCTAGTGTTATGAGTCATCATGCACTTTGGTTTAGTCATTTTTCATTTAAAGTCTCTAAGGCTTCCTCATTGATGCTTTTAGATTTGTCCATGGGATCCAGTCACCATTCTGAACATTTTGTTCTTGTATTTCAGTGTTGAACCAGTATAAATAATCCTTAAATGGATTTTACCTTGCTTGCAGAAAATTGAAGGAACGTTTAAGAAACAAATAATCATGCTTCCTCCTTCCTTCCCTTACCTTCTCTGTAATTGAATGGTATTGTTATATCTAGAATACACATACACATTCAAGAAGGTTATTTTGCTAGTTGAAGAATTCTGGGGTGGAATGACCGTTAAAGGAATCCAGCCCTTGCACCTTGGCATAGTAATCGAATATGGTATCTCTGCTTCTTCTTCTTCCCCGTTCTTCTTCCTTTCTTTTCCTCTCCTCCGTGTGTATATATATATATATATATATATATGTATTTTCAGAATGACTATTAAACGAATCCAGCCCATGCACCTTGGTATAGTAATGGAATATGGTATCTCTCCTTCTTCTCCTTCTTCTTCCTCTTTTTTGGTTTTTGTTTTTTCCTTGAGATGTAGTATAAAACAGAAAGCATGAGGAAGTTTGGGGAAAGGAAATCTATGTGGTTGTCATTTCTTTAAGCAATTGTGGCTAGATTTAGAGACTGGATAGGTGGAAGCTCATTCAAAAATGATAAGAACTATTGTTCAATAAATTGTAACTTAGATTGAGGGTTTCTAGATTTTTCAATTTAGAAAGCCTCTTGAAACCATAAATACTTAATTACAATTATTAGTTCAGTTTTGGAGCCACATGTATGTTAACTATTAAGATGAAACAATAAGGAAATGGATTTTTATAAGTCAAAGATGGAGAACCATACCGTTGGTATGGTTAGATACTTGAAATTTGTTGTAGCTTAAATATAGAAATTTGAAAGATGGAAGCTCACTCAAAGATGTTAAGATATTATTGTTCAATCGATTGCTATTTAGATCAAGAACTTTTGGATTCCTCAACTTAGAAAACTTCTCAAAACCTGCAATATATATCTACAATTATTAATTCAATTCTAGAGGCACATGTATCTTAAGATGAAACAATAAGAAAATGGGTTTTCATGCACTAAAGATGGACAACTATACCATTAGCATGGTTAGATGCTTGGAAATCGTTGTTATCTAGATATAGAGACTTGAGAGCTGAAAGCTCATTTAAAGTTGTCAAGATATCATTGTTCAACTGATTGTTATGTAGATCAAGAATCTTTAGTTTTCTCAACTTAAAAAGTTTCTCAAAACTTACAATACATACAATTACTAATTCAATTCTAAAGCCACATGTATATTAAGATGAAATGAAACAATAAGAAAATAAGTGTCTATACACTAAAGATGGACAACCATACCATTAGCATGGTTCAATGCTCGGAAATTGTTGTTGTCTAGATAGAGAAACTTGAAAGATGAAAGCTCACTTAAAGATGTGAAGGTATCATTGTTCAATTAATTGCTATTTAGATAAAAAAAATTTAGATTCCTCAACTTAGAAAACTTCTTGAAACCTACGATATGTACAATTATTGATTTAATTTGGAGCCACACGTAACTATTAAGATGAAACAATAAGGGAACAAGTTTCTATAGTAAAAAAATGTACAATTATATTACCAGCATTGTTGGATGCTGGAATTTGTTGTTGGCTAAATATAAACACTTAATTATATATTGACTTGAGTCAAATCTTCATAATTAAGATTAAGGAACACAATCATTCTAAAGAAATGTCCTTTTAAAATTACTTTTATGGGACGAGACCTTAATTTCATCTTAGCTTCATTTCATACGTAAACATCTTAGTATAATTAGTACCTCGCAATTAGTTTTCTTGAATTGGCCTTGTTGACTTGACGTCAACGCTTAGGCGCACATCATATCTCAGGAAGAGGTTAAAGCCACGCAATAAATTATCGGAGGCACACAAATTTCTTTTTAACAGTTAGTTACCTTTATTTCTTAAGTTTGAAGTCTTTTATCTAACTAGACCACTTTAAGCAAATAACTACTAAAAGTTTTTAGTCATTTTGTTTCATTTTGTTTTTTCTTGATTTATATAATATATTTGAGTTAAAACTCACTTACATATAATTTTTACATATATTACTTACATAAATTTTTAACTATCCATCTCTCAACTATGAATGATTTAGATTTATTATGATTTTTTAGGAAAAAAAAAAACAATGATCATTAAAAAATCTCAATCTTTTATTGTGAATAGATGAATAATTAAATTTTTATATAAATAATATATATAAAAATTGTGTTTAAATAAATATTAAGTCAATTTATAATTTAAAATTATATTTTTTTGGACTGAGATGTACATAATTTAAAGCTAAGGGGACATGCAATCCAAATGTCCAAATATCATGAACAAAAATTAATAAGTATAATTTATTTACACATAAGTTTTATATACTATACTTATACAAAGTTTTGATAATCCATCTCTTTACTTTTAATAGTTGAGAGTTATTACAACTTTTTAGATGAAAAAATAATTATATTTAATAAATATGATAAATATTTTTTTGGACTGAGATGTACATAATTTAAAG